CTTCCTTTGCATGCTGGTTATTTTTAGCTATTACAAGTGGGTGTTCAGGAATAAGTATACCGCTGTGCTGCGAAATTTCATGCTGAATTTTTATCACAAAAAAAAACTTATTAAAATTTGTCTTACCGCACAAAATTAAAACAAAAAATACCAACCGAAGAAAAAACTTTGATGATTGACTTTCATTGTTGGGCTATAAGGATGGATGGAGGTTGGCACATTTTTGTTTTTCTTTTTTGCTTTGCTCTTCACAATGCGGGCCTTTTGTTTTATCCTAATTAATTGGTAATATTTTGACAGATCATGTCATGAATGCTTTTGACATTGTTTCAATTTTTATAAATTTGGTTCCTCGAATGTGTGGGCGGTGCAGAAGTGTGGGGGTCATACTTTGGGGTAGAGAGGTAGAAGAGTCGTAGGTTATATACATTTTTTGTTATGAAAATTTATGGAAGGAAATTAATATTAATTGAATGAGGTTGGTGTTTAACGTACAAATATTGATATTACCCGTGTAATAAACGGGAACTTCATTATTTCTATTAATTTATTGAACTCAAAATATATTAAAAAATAATATCCTGAATTAATATCCTTCATTTTTCTTTATTATGTTTTAAATAAAAAAAATCGTATCGCCTCATTATTTAATTATTATATATAATTATTTTGAAATTAATTATAATTGTAATTTTCAAAAGGTCCAAAATTAAAATCATTTTAATATTAATTGTTTCTATTATTATAATTATAGCTGGGTAAAATTTAGCCAAACAAAAAACAGTCATTATTTTTCTATTGAATTTATGTTTCATATTTTGACAAGAGCAATCTGCTTAAAATGATTTACATATTATTTATGGCTTTTATGTTGCAGCAAATAATTAGAATATACTAAAACATATAGGGGTTTCAATAAAAAAAAAAATCAAGAGGATTTAAAGTAACAAAAAAAGGAAAAAATAATGAAATTTTGGAAAATAGACGAGTTGATTAAACTTTGTTTTTTCAAAAAAATAAAAAAATATGGTTCTTATTTACCCCAGACTTTTTAATTTAAAAATTCATATTTTGATTTGAATAAGCATGAATTTACAAACAATTTTAATGCTTGAAGAAACAAATTGGGCCCTATTCTCCTTCCTATCCTAACAAATAGTCTCTAACTTTATTAAGTCCTTTTTATACACCCTAACCTGCAGTATTAATATCTTCAATTTTTTTTCGTATGTCTACGCAGTACCCCATATATGCATTTCACATACATCATTATAATCATAATTTTATGCTCGACTACACACAAAAAAGTTTTCAATTCGAAATTTTAAATAATTTTTCATTATTGTTATGTCTGGCATAGAGTTACATAATAATATTTATGCATTTTTTCTTGTTTTTTGATTTATTTTGAAAACATTTTAGTAATTCATTCATTTAGAAATATTTTTACATTTAAATGGTGAAATTACTGTGTGTGTGTGTGTGTGTGTGTTTGTATACTGGCCGCATATAACTCAAACATCAACTGTGATATTAATATCATTTTATGAAAAAAAATATTTTGCAATATTTTTTCCGCTAGCCAATATTGGCATTGGAGGCGGTTGGGGCAATAAAGGGAGGTGTTGCTGCAATAACAACCAACAAATTTTTAATATAATTGATTGTGGTAATATCGCATTATACCGCATATTTCCATAGTTTTTAGTTGTATATTTCGGGAATGTATGTAAATTGACCATGGTTATGCATTTGTGTGTTTACAAGCAAATAAAACGTTTTGGTATAAAATTATGAGGATATGTGCACAAAACCAACAAATAGTAGAACAAATACAGTGAGAAAATTAAATGTCAAAAAAAATATTTAAAATCTTTGAGAATATTATTTTCAGAAAATAATTATAATCCAGTAAGGAAAGCAGTAAAGTCGAACGGTGCCGACTATATGATACCCTTTTACCTCTTTGGCTATTTTCAAGAGATGCATCCTAACAGACTTCGCATTTTTGAAGGACCATTGACATGAAATTCGACCAAGTTAAATGTGTGATTTGTGTCTATATGTGAACCGAATTAACCCAACGATCAATAACCGGGTATATTTGTACCACAATGGCATGTTTTTCTGTTTGTAACTCATCGAAATAGTCATTTCCGACCCTATAAAGTGTATATATTATTGATCAGCGAAGATCAGTCCACGTACCAAATGTCTCCACTAAAAATTATTAAAATCGATCACCTTTTTCAGGTATCGCCCATATAACGATATCCCAATTTTCGGTATTTGAGAGTCTTGAGCGCGCTATTGAATCGAATTCGCTGAAATTTGTTACAATGGGCTTTTATTGGGTACAACAACCACACACCTATGCCAAATTCCATTTCATTAGCGCAGATTTAGTGTCGTTTTGTGCAATGGGACAAAATTATGTAAATCGATTTAAATCAAACTATTAGTTATGTTACAATATACATACAAATACAACACAGAACGTTGTTCAAAATCTGAGCTCAATTGGACACCAGTTCATTATATGGTGCACAATTAATTTGAAGTCAATCGAAAATATACATGGGAGCAATACTTGCATCTGAACCAATTTTTACAAAACTTTAGTGTCTTAGTTTAACACACGTTAGGCTATACTAATTTTAGAACTTTGAGCAAAATTTGGTGTCAATCGAATAAAAATGAAGATTTTTGGTGCACCATTCACTTAAAATCGGACGAAACTATATATGGGAGCTATATCTAAATCTCAACCAATTACATCCAAACTTACCAAACCCATTTCGGTACGTTGCGCGTAATGTTGTGCCAATCGGACACACTTTAACTCTTTGGTGCACCATTTACTTAAAATTGGGTGAACATATATAAGGGATCTATATCTAAATTTAAACCCATTTCAATAAAAATTGGCACACGTTAGCCTCTTCTAACTTCAATACTTTGTGCAAAATTTCATGCCAATCGGCCTAAATTCGACTCTTTGGTGCACAATTTGTTAAAATCGGACGAACTATATAGGGGAGCAATATCTAAATCTGAACCGAATTCAAAAACACTTGGCACAAAACAATCTTGTTGTCCCAAAGCGACAAATATGTTCCTATTGGAAAACTATGGGTATTTATACCCTTCACCACTCTGTGGTACAGGGTATTATGCCTTTGTGCATATGTTTGTAACATGCAAAAGGAAACGAGATTGACGCATGGTTCCTTTTGAGAATATACATAGAATCACTTTTTAAGACTATCTATGCATGTCCGTCTGTCTGTCCATGTTAAATTGTGAACAAAGTACAGGTGTTATTTATGATCCGAATTAGATGAAATTTGGCACTTCTCATTTGTTTGGCCCAAGGACGAACCCTATTGAAATTGGGAAAAATCGGTTCAGATTTACATATATAGCTTCCATATATATTTTCGTCCGATTATACCATAGTCCCTATATATCCTTCTATTTGCACGAAATTTGGCATAGCGTAATGAATTAGATCTAGAATAATGTGTGTTAAGTTTCCTGAAAATCGGTCCAGATTTATATATAGATCCCATACATATTTTCGTCCGATTTAATGTAAATGGTGTAACAAAGTCCCTATATATCTTTCGATTTGCACGAATAATAAACTTAACACACATTGAAAAATGTGTGTTAAGTTTCCTGAAAATCGGTCCAGATTTATTTATAGCTCCCATATATATTTTCCGTCCGATTTTATGTAAATGGTATACGAGAGTCCCTATATATCTTTCGATTTGCACGAAATTTAGCATAGCGTAATGAATTAGCTCTACAATGATGTGCGTTAAGTTTCCTGAGATTTAGATACAGTTCCCATATATACTTTCGTCCGATTTAATGTAAATGGTATTCCAAAGTCCTTATATATCTTTCGATTTGCGAAATTTGGCACAGCGTACTAAATTATGTCTAGAATGATGTGTGTTAAGTTTCGTGAAAATCGATCCAGATTTAGATATAGCTCCCATATATATTTTCGTCCGATTTAATGTAAATGGTGTACCAAAGTCCCTACATATCAATTGAGTTGTACGAAATTTGGCACAGCGTAATGAATTAGCTCTAGAATGATGAGTGTTAAGTTTCCTGAAAATCGGTCCAGATTTAGATATAGTTCCCATATATATTTTCGTCCAATTTAATGTAAATGGTGTAGCAAAGTCCCTATATATCTTTCGATTTGCACGAAATTTGGCACAGCGTAATGAATTAGATCTACAATATTGTGTGTTAAGTTTCCTGAAAATCGGTTCAGATTTATATATAGCTCCCATATTTTTTTTAAGATATTTTCTTTGAGGACATCAATGTATAGATTTACTTAAACCTGTTTTTCAAATTGACAACAAAGCGTAGATTTTTGTAAAAATATTTTTCTAAATTACAACAAGACATTGATTTTTTTTCAAATATTTTTCTATGGGACAAAATAGGGAATTGTTTTTTTAATATTTTCTTATAACTGTCCCTAAATTAAAAAAAAACATTTTTTTACCGATAACTTGTCATAGATATTTTTAAAAAATAGTTTTCTTAGAGACATCAAGACATAGATTTTTGTCAATATTTTTCTAAGGGACAACAAGGCACAAATTTTTTTCAATATTTTTCTAAGGGATAACAAGCCATTGATTTTTTTTTATTAAAAAAAAAAACAAAAATGTTGGGAAAATGTAAAACATTTTACAGTTTTCCCAACATTTTCCCAGTGTAGTTACCTCCCATAACATTTACATTTTGTAGCTCATTTCGTTTATGTCATATATTATATTAAATTTGTATATAAACATGTATGGAGTTTGAAAAACATATGTTTTGCCGTCTCTCATGTATTTTGTGCATTTATTATAACTTATGTATAATTTTTATAATTTAATTAAAATATTAACATATATATTTTGTCGCTATTTAATACGAATACTAATTTTTTTGCCTTGTTGCTTTTTTTTCTTTTGCAGGAATGTCAATTTCAATTTAAAAATCGCCGCTGGAATTGTACAACAACAGAGGATAATACGGTGTTTGGTCCCATGACCGGTTTGGGTAAGTCCATGGCAACAAAAAATAATAAATAAAGCTAATTTACTTGTAAATATGGTAGACACAAAAAAAAATAAATTTTGTGTCAATTGCTGCAGGGTGATATTATTATCATGCTAAGAACAAAACACACAAAATTTTGTGGAAACACAAAATTTCATGAGGATTTAAGACACGAGCCATAAAATGTTTAGAATAATTGAGAAAATAACGAGTGAGGGTAAAAGAAAAAATTTCGTGAAAGTAATAAGAGATTGTCCTTTGTGGTTGTGTGAGTTTTTTTTTAAATTTGTTTTTCTTACGAATATTGGCTAAATAAGGCGAAAATTGCTTGCATTTAGCTAAAGGAAATTTTATTTATTATACCCTACACAACTATGTTGTCAGGGTATTATAGCTTTGTGCAGCCCCAAATGTTTGTAACACCGCGAAATATTGGTCCTAGACCCACCTTTAAGTATACCGATCGTCATATCTCGACTAGCTGAGTCGATCTAGACATGTGTGTCCGTCCGTCCGTCCGTCCGTCCGTCCGTCCGTCTGTCCATTATAATTTGTAAACACGATACAGGCCACAGTTATGGACCAATCTTCACGAAATTTTACATGTAGGATGGGTTCTGGCCAATGAAGACCCCTATTGTTTTTGAAAGGGATCGGTTAATATTTAGGGGATGAAATGGACCAAAAACTTTATTTTTGTCGGTTTTTCTGGTCGCTCCTGAGGCCGCAATTATGGCCCAAACACCGCGAATTTTTGCATGGAGAAGGGGATCGAGCCAAACAACAAGCATGCCTGTTTTGACAAATATCGGTCAATATTTAGCGGGTCAAATGGACCCGGACTTTTGTGTGAAAAATGACAAAATTTGTATTCTATGGCGTATATATTTGCCCCTGAAGGACCTAGACCCAAAAAGTTGATAGTATCTTCAAGAGGAGTGGTTGACCTTTAAACTGGTACCAATTTTATTGTCGTATGTACTCGGATGTGGGAGTTACACTTAAATGTTTACAGGTGCTTACGTACTCAAATATTATTTAGTAACCCATTACCACACTAGAGGGCGGAAATATGGAAATATAGCACGCATCACTTTCACTAATATCCAGGTATGGTCAAGGACAACGCCTATAATTTTCGGTGATGATCAGATAATAATGTTGGGATGAAGTGGACCGAAAACGTATTTTTTGTTTGTTTTTTTTTTCGAGTCGATCTACCAGCCACAATTGAAAGCCGAACATCACAAAACAACCCACGTTGAAGAGAATCTGGACAAGTAATTAGAAGGACTGTACTGAATATTAGTAATATTTGTGAACCTCTGGTGGGTCATGAGGGTGCAAACATCGCGAAATATTGCCCAAGCTCAGAATGTGGTACCACAGAAAGTTATATGTTCATGGAAGTTGTGTAGGGTATCATATGGTCGGCCCCGTCCGACTATACTGCTCCGCTCACTGGTTTTTAATTTAATAAGTGTTGGAGATTTTTTAAAGCATTTTTTTTAATAATTTAATGAACTTGAATAATATTCTTGTCTCATCTTCGTCTTGTGTATGTCTTCCCTTACCCCATTCCTTTGCTTGTCTATTTTTTTTTTTATTTATCATAAAACAACTTTGTATTCATTTTATCATCATTAGTCAAGGAAAAGTTTTCGTTATTCGTCTGTTTTTCATTTTTGGCAAAACGACGTCTATAAGAAAGTCCATTGTTTCGGCAATGACTTCGTTCGTTCATTCGTTCAATTAAAGCATCTGGCTAAGGATGTGTTTTAATGACTAAAATCAATTTTGTTATGTTGCTGTCATCACAGCATTGTCGAAGAGGCCGAGCATGGAACAGTGTTCCAAAAATTCGAAACATAAAATAAAAAAAAAAACAATTTATTAGGTATGGTTTTTATAAAAAAATATTTTTCTAAGACTACAGTTCAGTTTAGATTAAAAAAAATATTTTTTTTAATAATCTATTGAGTGAATTTAAAAAAAAAATGTGTGGATTTTTTTAAATATTTTCAAATTTGTTTTGTTGAATATAAAAAGCCTGGATTTCTTCAGATTTAGATATAGCTCCCATATATATTTTCGTCCGATTTAATGCAAATGGCGGACTAAAGACCTTGTATATCATTCGATTTGGACGAAATTTGGCATAGCGTACTGAAATAAGTCTAGAATGATGTGTGTTAAGTTTCGTGAAAATCGGTTTAAATTTAGATATAGCTCCCATATATATTTTCGACAGATTTAGGGTAAACGGGGTACCAAAGTCCCTATATATCTTTCGATTTGCACGAAATTTGGCATAGTGTATTGAATTAGGTCCAGAATGAGGAGTGCTAAGTTTCGTGAAAATCGTTTTAAATTTAGATATAGCTCCCATATATATTTTTCCTCCGATTTATGGTAAACGGGGCATTAAAGTCCCTATATATCTTTCCATTTGCACGAAATTTAGCACAGGGTGTTGAATTAGGTCCAGAATGATGTGTGCTTAGTTTTGTGAAAATCGGTTTAAATTTAGATATAGCTCCCACATATAGTTTTGTCCGATTTTATGTAACTGGTCCACCAAAGTCCCTATATATCTTTCTATTTGCTCGAAATTTTTTTCGTAGTATTCTGAATTGATTCTAGAAAGATGTGTATAAAGTTGCGAAAAAATCGGGTCAGATTTAGATATAGCTCCCATATATTTTTTCGTCCGATTAAATGTAAATGTGTCACCAAAGTCCTCATATATCTTTCAATTTGCACGAAATTTGGAATAAATCCAGAATGACGTGTGTTAAGTTTCGAGAAAATCGGTTGAGATTTAGATACAGCTCCCATATAAATTTTCGTCCGGTTTAATGTAAATGGGACTCCAAAGTCCCTATAAACATTTCGATTTGCTTGAAATTTGGCATAGGTTACTGAAGTAGGTCCAGAATGATGTGTGCTTATTTTCGTGAAAATCGGTTCAGATTTAGATATAGCTCCCATATATATTGTCGTCCGTTTTCATGTAATTTGCACGAAATTTGGCATAAGGTGTTGAATTAGGTCCACAATGAGGAATGCTAAGTTTCGTGCAAATCGGTTCAGATTTAGATATAGCTCCCACATACATATTAAGGGTAAATGGTGCAGCAAAGTCCCTATATATCTTTCGATTTGCACGAAATTTTGCATAGTTCATTTTGCATAGTAAGACTAGCATGATGTGTGGTAAGTTTCATGAAAATCGAAATGATGTGTGCTAAGTTTTATGAAAATTGGCTCAGATTTAGATAAAGCTGCCATATATATTTTCTTACGATTTGATGTAAATGGGGCACCAAATACCCAAAGTTAAGCCGATTGGAACAAAATTTGCAGAAAGTACTGAAGCTGCTATAACCTTTTTGGAATCGGTTCGGATTTAGATATAGCTCCCACGCCGATTGTCACAAAATCTTACACAACGTTCGGAAGTTAGAGTAGTCTAACGTGTGGCAAGTTTTGTTTAAATTGGTTCAGATTTGGATATTTGTTTAATATTACCATTGTGGTGAAGGGTATCACATAGTCGGTCCCGTCCGACTTTCCTTACTGGTTCAATATTTTATTAGGCGGGAATTTATAAAAAAATATTTTTTCTACAATTTTATTCGCGAGCATGTATAAAATCATATTTTTATGAATCTATTAAAAAAATCCTTGATTAAAAAGTATTCCTTCAAATATTTTCTTAGAAAAATCAAAACACTGTTTCTACCACACCAGAAGAAATGAAAGAAAATTCAATTGAAACAAAAGTGGCTTGAGTTAAAAACCACCTTCCCCCCGTCGCCCCCAAAAACCAAGCGTTGAATGTTGTGCTAACAAATATTTCATTATAAACAGTTTTTAGCATCACTCAACTTAATTAAGACTGATGACAATAGCCTCATGACATCGATGTTATCCATGGCTGGTTTGAAACATTTTGTTGTTGTTGTTGGTTTTGTTACGTTTCGAAAAACTTTGTGTCAAGATATCAGCACATTTTGGTATTTTGTTATTTTGAACTTCATTTGCCAAAGACAGAGAGTGCGAGAGAAGTGGTTAAGGAAGATGTTATCAAACTCCTTCAATTATCCATATTTCCATCGATATCTTCGAGCACGGATGTTGCTACTGTTGAATTATATCTTCTGCCTCAACTTTCAGGCTCATACTTCACTCCTTCTTGACTTTCTTACTCCCTATTGTTATTGTTTTCGGTATGTCTGTAAAGTTTACAAATACATAAACAACAACAACAGCAACATGATTTCTTAGTGTAATACCACCAGTATATAGGAATGTGTGTGTGTATGTTTCAAATTAGTATATATAATTTTGTTATTTTGAAGTATCATTGTTTACAATATTAAGGAGTCTGCAGCTGCCTGCCTGTGTATGTCATACTACACAACAAAAACAGCAGCAAGTACAACAACAACACCAACTGATATCTTAAAGGAAACGGATACTGTAAGAAAAGTTCAAAAGTTTATGTGTGTATTCTTGTGGAGGGCAAAAACGCAAAAATAAAATAGTTGTCATTCAATGCTGTTTTAGTAATTGTTGATATTTCAAGAGATTATAAACTGAGACAAACAAAAAATAAATAAAACAAAAAAACAGACCGACAAACAAAGCATGTCCTGTTGTTCTGAGTAGTGTCATGTTATTGGAGTCTTATGTTTTTCTGCCAGTGTCCTGTTGCCATCAATTGTTTTATTCTGCATGGAAGGGGATTTCGCTGCCCCTTTCCATTTATGGTGTTGGTGTTTCAGTGTAAAGAAGAAACATTGATTCGAAAGAAATGAACTGGTTGAGTGGAATGGGTTAGAAAGGATTTCCATGGAAATGAATGGAGAGGGAAATCGAACGCCCTGATAATATAGATATTTAATGAAATTTAAACAGAAAATCTATTAAAATTAGTAAATTATTAGGAATGGAAATATTCGAATTGGGTTTGAAAAAGAAAAATAATAATTTGA